CTTTTGAAGCTATAGTTATAGTGCCACCTAGGTGGCAGTAGCTTACAGGACCAGGACAAAGCTCTTCAAAAGACTGCATACAGGGGCTGGGGATTTAGCTCAGTGGCAAAGCACCTGCCTGGCAAGTGCAAGGTCATGAGTTCAGTTCCCGGTACCAGAGAAAAACAAAAAACAAACAAACAAAAAAAGACTACATACATATTGAATCAGCATCCACTATATAGTACTTTATCTCCCATAGGTAGGATTCATGAGTCCAGGAATTGAGGGGTGGGAGTGGGAATGGTACCACTCACCATTACCCCCATTATTTCCACAGGCAAAATTTTGCTTCCTGTTCCTACAACCTTATGCTAATTCTTTATGGAATTAGAAGTCTTAATTCCAGAGGGGAAAGGAAGGTTTATACCAGGAAGCATAACAATGCTACCATTGAATTGCAAGCTAAGACTTCCCCCTGGTCATTTTGGTCTCTTCATGCTTCTGAGGAAACAAGCTAAATTGGGAGTCATAGTGTTGGCAGGGGTGATTGACCCAGACTATCAATGGGAAATTAGACTATTACTCCGCAATGGAGGAAAGGCAGAATATACTTGGGGTGCAGGAGATCCTTTAGGGCATGTCGTAGTATTATCATGCCCAGTTATTAAAGTCAAGGGGAAACTACAACAACCCAATCCAGGCAGAATAAAAAATAATCCAGAACCTTCAGGAGTGAACGTATGGGTCACCCCACTAGAGAAAGAACCAGGACCTGCTGAGGTGCTTGCTGAAGGCCAAGGGAATGCAGAATGGGTAGTAGAAGAAATTATTAAGAAATACCAGCTACAACTCTGTGATCAGCTATAGAAACAAAGATTGTAATTGTAATAGTTCTCTCTTTATATGCTTCCAATGTAATATAATGTTGATAGACTTCATATGACTTCTTAAATATTGTTAAATAATGTTCAAGTTAGGAAATGTTAGGAGTAAGCATCACCCAAAGAAAACTTGCCTTCCATTCTAGGGAAGGAATTAGCATATTTTTGTTTGTATATAGGGTAGTTATAACATGTTAGGCATAATTGTGCACTTGTCTTTGTATCTGGTTTGAAGAATTGTGTCTGGTTGTCAACTTGACTATGTGGGGATTATGATAGTTAATTGGCTGTGTCAGCATGAGTAAGAAACACCCAACAAATTGGCTCAGCATAGTTCTGGGTGTGGAAGAATCACCCTAAGATGGATTGTCACCATAATGATATAAAAAGGAAATGAAGAAGGAAGGATTGCTTCTGTTTCTTCAGAGGACCTCCAGTCTTCACCTTCACATTACACATTCTCTTCAGCTTTCCAGAACAGATCCTTCAGACTTCCATTGCAGACTCTTTGGCCTTCTGATATGGACTTGCATGGGACATCACAGTGAGCTCCAGGGCTTTGACTGGATCCTTTGGATCTCCAGTGTGCAGGCAGACCTCCTGCTACATCTGACTCTGTTGGTAAGCACTGTAAGCTAATTTTGTAAATTCTTATGTATTCATATGTCTCGCATTAAACCTGTTTCTCTAGTAAGCACTGACTGATACAGCAAGATCCTATTTAATATAGTATTACTGTACAAACCTATTTCATTCTCAGCAAAAGTCAGTTCAACAATCTCTGTTGTCACTACAGGGGCACAAAAACTTCAATTTGTCTTCTAAAAGTGGATTTTCATATTTTTCACAAGGATTTCAAGCCAAAAAGTTAATAGCTCTCAGGATATTCAGGATGGTTGTGTGACTTAGAGAAACTAGACTTAAAAGACTATGTTCCCTAAAACACACACACACACACACACACTCACACACACACAGAGTACAAGAGGTAGAAGACAGAAGACAAACAGAGAAACATAGATATGGGCAGGTAGAGAGAGTAGCAATGAGAATAAATTGTGGTTTTAACTGATTTGGATCTTAAATGTGTCCCAAAAGTCTGTGTTGAAGGCTTGGTTCCAGTCGTTTGCACAATTGAAAGGTGGAGGAACCTGTAGGAGGCAGGACTCAGTGGAAGAAACTTACATAATTGAGGGAATGATCTTGTAGAAATACTAGAATCCAAGTCTGGCCTTTTCCTCTGTCTCTCCTTTCTTCCCAGTCACCAAGAGGTGAGCAAGCCTCCTCCATCATGCTCTCATCCCATGATGTACTGTGATGCCACAGGCCAAAATCAACAGGGTCATCCAGGTGACCAGACTGAAACTTCTGAAACCAAAATAAAATTTCTGTCTTCCTTAATTTATCATCTCAGAAATTTTGTCACAGTTGAAAGAAAGCTGGCATACATAGTAGGGTAATTTTTTTTTAATTTTGTTGAGTTTCTTACAAAAATGTATGAACAATGTGGCTTTCTTTATTTTGAACTTCTGGAAAAATTTTATTTGCATTTGAGATGCAGATTTAGAATTCTAAAGTTTTTCCTGAGTAAGTTGTCTTTGGGTAAAATTGCTGTGGGTAGCAGAATCACACTCCTCAGTTTCAACACCCTTGTCGTAGTATCGGTTTAACATTCTTATTTTATTAGTACACGTTTGCAATACATAAAGTTTACATTCATATAAAGGGGTAGGTAACTGTTCTTAACATAGCTTGATTCTTTTTATTACTTTTCGCTCCCCACCCTCCTCCTTCCCTCTCTCTTTACATCTCCTTTCCCCATTTTTATTCTTGTTATTATTATTATTATTCTTTTTAGCTCATATTGGGCTACACACCATGTTTATATTCAACTTGGGTATTTGGTACATGTACATGACATACCTTAAATCTTTTTCCTTCCTTCCTTCCATTTCCCCCCTCCCCATACTCTTACTCTTGGTCGCTTGGACCCCTTCCCATCTGGAAAAAAGATCTATCTCCTTGATTCCTTTTTATCAATCTTTTATTTTCCTCTTTATTTGTACTTTGCATTACTCAAATGAGAGAAACCATATTATATTTAAGCTTATGTGTCTGATTTATTTCACACAACATTATACTTTCTGAGTGTATCTACTTTCCTACAAATGCCTCAAATTTAGCCTACTTTATTGCCAAATAGTATTTCATCATGTGGATACCACACTTCCTTTATCCATTCATCTGTTCATGGACATATAGGCTGTTTCTAAAGTTTACCTATTGCGAATTATACTGTTATAAACACTGTTTTCTTTGCTCATATTTGGCACTGCAATTTATAATTTAAAAGGTGGTAGTAAATAGGGAAGATTAGAATAATGACATTTAAAATAAAAACAGCTAGTGACACAAATGCTATTCTTAATTCAGGCTAAGAATTTTCATTTCCCACCTTAATGTTATCCCTTGACGTTTAAGCTTTAAGATCTTCTATTTTCTTTGACTGTGCTTACTTACCTACTCCTGTAAACCCAGAAAGGCAGCTAAAAAAGTGGTTCATTCTGATGTAACCTCACTCAGTCTCTTTTGACACTCCTTTTGGGTTGACACTTTTAGGTTAGTGGCACTGATTTCTGAAGAAAGTAACTGTCAATTGATGCCGAGAATTGCTATGAACAACAATAAAGCATAAACAGGTGCAGAACATGGAAGAAATGCTTCAGGATGAGTACTCATAATCATGGGTAAGTGAGTTGTTGTAAAGGCAGTGTTAAAATGAAAGTAACTATAAAGAGAAACATACTATGGAGATTAGATTTCATCTACTACACTAAATGTTGCCTTACAAATATGAATTATAATAACCAGACTTGAGCAAGAATAAATGAAAGAACATACAATGCCAATGTTTCTAAACAAATGCAAACATCCTACTTTATAAGGTTCTGGTCCTGTGTAAGCATAGGGTCCTCATTGTTCACCTGTATCCACCTTCCCACCTGTGACCTATCCAAGAAAATTAAAGCAGTCTTCACACACATCCCACTGGAGAAATAGGAGAGGGCATCAGAGACAAGGAAAACTCAGTGGAAAAGACTCCAGGTTGGAATTTCTTGGACAGAGGAATAGGCATTCCTCTCGTAGTCAAGCCTCTTTAGCTAAGCAGATGGGTAGATGGAGAAATCTCTTGAAAATTCTTCTTTGTTTTGTTGAAATTTGCTTTGTGTTATTGTCTTCACATAACCGAATCCTGTCTGACTTTTTCAGCAGGACTATTTATAAACTTTGGACCACAACCCACAAACACCAACCTCCAGAGCCTGAATTTCATGTGATAATGCTCTCTATCAGTATCATTAATCTGGAAGGACGAACTGTAGAGAAATAGCTAGATTACCCTAGCTGCCCATGTGAGTTTTCCAATAATGATTTTTTATTCTTTTCTATGAGCATTTGCCCTTTTGAGGTTATTGGGATTTACTGGTTTGTTTTGCACCCTAGAGTTGTATTAGCATCTGGTTAAAGTTTGCATCCCTCACCAACCTGAACAAATAGGTACATATACTCATGCATGCACACCACACACACACACACACATACACACATTTGTTTTTCCCTGTAGGCTTCATATTTAGTAGCTTAAAAGAAACAGGCACTGGGCTAAGATCTTCCTCCAGTTTCCCTGATCAGGAAGAGTGAAAAAAATCTGTATTACTTTATTGATTCATTTTGAGATTTCCACCCTCCTCTCTAATTCCATGTCCTTTTTCCAAATTGAGGAAGTGAGGAGACGGGAGCCCTATCTTTCTAATCTAACATTGCTTTGGGCTAGAAAATTAAAATTTTTAAAATTCAGTAAGGAAAAAATACCTTTTAGAAAGAATAAACCAAGGAACTATAAATCATCTTCTAGGTGCTTTTTAAAAACAAAATATTATTATAAAGGTTCAGAACACTGTGAGAATTGTGCTTTGGGAGCCCAGATGGGTGTGGATACAGAGCTGAGGAAGCTGGGGTTGGTGCCAAGTTACTATCCGGGCCCTGCAGGGGGCCAAGCACAAGTTTGGGAAAACAGAGTAGGAGTCAGACACTATTGTGGTCTAGATGAAGGCAGAAAAAGACAGTACACCACAGGCTTCCTTTCTGGCTTGTTCTTATCTGACAGTGCAGAGGGTGGAAGCATGCCCGGGGTGCAGGTGAGGAACATTTAGCCCTAGCAGGCCAAGGACTCCACATCCCCTCCTCTTCTTCACTACCAGTTTACCACCCCACAGCCCCTCCACTGGGGCACTCAATCCCCCCTCCCCCGCCAGGACCTCCCTGGGCCCTCCCACAGTCTCCCACCAAGCTTGGGAGTTCTTCATAAGTATCACCAGACCTGAGTTTGCAGTCTCATTAGGCAGACTGTGAGAAAGTAGGTGGTGTTTGGGCAAGTGTGATCTCCTTCAACCTGCAGCCTGGGAAACTGTATCCAGCCACGCCGTACTGGGTAGCCAGAAGATACACCATGGTGAAAATCGCTTTCAACATACTCGCAGGGGTGCAAAAGGAGGAGGCGCAGCAAGACGTGGAGGCCCTCGTGAGCCGCACGCTCAGAGCACAGATCCTGACGGGCAAGGTATTTGTCCCAAGAGTGCTCCTTACTGCCTGCTAGGGTTTAAAAATGGTGTGTGTGAAGGGCAGAAAAAGGGCCATGTGGCAGACGACAAAACGCAGGCTTCCCAGAAGTTCTTGATTCCAGGGGTAAGGCCTCTTTAAATGGTCCCTCGGGTTTGCTTTGTCTCCCTAGTTCTGTCTGCTCTCACCACCTTCTGCCTGCCACACCCCGTCCCCCTCTGCATATGTGCAAGTCCCTGCATTTTCCGTGGATTCCAACACATACTGCTTATCCCTGAGGGAAGCTGGAAGGAGTCTGAGGAGATCTCCTGGAACTTGGTATCATCTTCACCTGAGGAATGGCTGGAGAGTTGGGTATCCAGAAGCACCCTGCGCTGTCCCCAGCTCCATAGCTAGTGCATAGGCAGAGCATACACAAGGTGCGAGCAGTATCAAAAGACTTAAATTTTCTTTCCTTCCTTTTGACATGGGTAGATAAATCTAAGTTTTTCTAGGATCACTATTGCGAAGGTAGGGGTAAAGGTCAAGTTCAATTTCCACCTATACTGATTGGAGCAAGTGCACGTGTGTGATAGGTGCTATTAAGCATTAAGTAGAAGAGCTGTAAAAATTTTGTTTGGTCTTAATTCAAATTTTGGGCGTTCACTGTGCCCTCTTACTGCAAAAGTCTTGTGTGATTTCAGAGTGGCATGTCCTTAAGAAAACACTCTTATGTAAAAATAAATTTCAGGATACTTTTCTATTCCTTTTCCTTTAGCTGTTTCTTATTGAGCAAGATACTACTTCATCCATGTAGAGTTCTGAAGTATGTCTAATATTGCTGTAAATTACCAAATTTCCCAGGAACTGGGGAAAGTTACTCCTCAAAAAAGATAAAATCTATTTACTTAGTCTAACTTTTTATTTTGTTTAAATGCCTACCATGTTTTCAGCATTTGCAAACTACTCCTCATTTTTTTTCAGTTAAATAGCAATTTTAAAAGGCAATCATATTTTCTTTTGATTCTATTAACTCTGGAAAGTGCTGGAGCTTGCAGTTCTGTCCTAACTTGTTTTCTGCAGAAAGTTTTAACTGTTGTATTCAGTGGGGAGATTTGAAAAGTACTACGTGTGAAATGAGAACTCATGTCATAAAATTTGATTATGCACTCGATTTCCAGTACTAATATGTTTATGCAGAACTTTTAATAAGAAAACTTTCAGTGTTTAACTTTGCAATCAAGCTAGCTTATTGTGCACTAAACACTTTAAAACTCAATAGTAACACTTCTTTGCATTTTTTTTTTTTTTTGGTTTTTTTCCACGACCTTGCGCTTGCTAGGCAGGCGTGCATTTTTGAGGTTTTGATTACAGAAACTGGGATGTGTGGCTGTTCTCCTACTAATTTTGTAAAAGACAGATTTTTGGGGAGGCTTAGTTAAATGGCAGCAGTTAAAAATAGCCACCAGTTAATCCCTGTTTTCTCCATCATCTGCCAAAACTCCATGACTTGTAGATAAATTCAGTTAATACAGAAATAATACTTTAGCCAGGCCTGTGGGTGTGGTGTAGAATAAATAAAAAAGAGCATTTCTCTGCAGTTATATTTCCTTTTTGAGATTTGTGAGAAGCTTCCAAATTCAAAGCTGCACACTATAGGACACTGACAAAAATTCTTCACACACTACATTGTGCTGTATTGATCAACTAGATCATGGGTTGAAAAAAACAGACTATTATGCTGGAGGCTGTGCATGTTGAATTTAAAATACTTCTCAGAGAGAAATTAACTATGGTCATTGATGGGCTCAGTAACCCTGAACTTCACCAAATTTAATTGATAGCTAAAAACCCTCAGTTCTATTAGTGATAATTTATGAAACTGAGACTTTCACATTTAGACTCTCCTTAAGAATAACTTTCCTCAATTATTAGAAAGCAAAATGAAACTATAATGTAAATTGCGCTTTTCATGTCTCAGTTGCAAGAAAAAAATTCATTCCTCTGAGAATTTCAAATTAAGCCATTTTGTGACAGCACACCACTCCACTTTCTAATTATCAATAATTATCTGACATACAGTTTATAAGCCTCCAGCTCTCGATTACATTAATTTTCAGTCAAAATTTAAAGTTTTTTCTTTGTAGTGCTAATTTTAGTTAGATTTTAATAAAAATAATTAAAAGATCAAAATTATTGGAGGCCAAAAAAGACATTAAGATTTAGAGTATTAATGGAGGGAATGAACTGAAATAAATTTAAATGAGAAAATGTGAATATCAAATGTTGAGCTTTAAAGAAAACTCTTTAAAACATAAATGATCTCTGGGTCTTCCTTTTTCTATTTACCATCAAATTCATGCATTTATTTTCTTTTTTTTTTTTTTTTTTTTTTTGGTTTTTAATCAAACTCAGGACTTTGCGCTTGCCTGGCAGGCACTTATGGCACTGAGCTATATCTATAATTGGAAGGATCTGATATCATTTGATT